CTGGAGGTCGGCGAGCTGGATGCGTACAGCGACGTGTCGAGCGAGAGGAGCTTCGGCTACGAGTTCGCCCAGGCCGAGGTCATGATGAAAGGCGTGTGGAACAACGGTGAGTCACAGAGGGGCGGATGCTTTCTCCAAACGTTACCTTCAAATCGTAACATTGTTGTGAATGAGGAGCTAATAAAAGCTGTTTGTTTGTTTTTGAAAATTCTTTTATTTTTTGACCTAAAAGGAGAAAAAAAGCGTTTTGTTTCTGTCACTTCAAACTCGGCAGCTGTGCTGCTGGGAAATAATATTTATATAATTTATTTATTATTATTTATATAATAAATATAAATCATGTGAAGAGCAGCCAAAGTCAGATACAATAACTTCACTGTGTTACAGGCAAAAGCAGTTCTGGTTTTATCTGTTAGTGGTTTGAGTGTTTATCAGCGTTTGTGTGTCTGCGATGCTTCCAGCCAGAGACCAAAGACTCTCACACTCAGTGTGTCTTTAATCGAAAGCCAGAATAATCGGTGTCTCCTCCTCGTGTCCTCCTGCAGACCCGTTGCAGTCGGTGTTGCAGACCCTGGAGAAGCAGCACCAGGAGGAGAAGCGCTGCGCTCTGGAGCGCCAGAAGCAGATGTATGAACAGGAGCTGCAGCAGCTCCGCCAGCGAGTCACCCCCGAGAAACCGTCGGGCGTCCCGGGCGGTGCTGCTGCCGCCGTGTTGTCAGCCAGCTCAAACAAACGTGTGCGTCGCTGGAGCGAGGACAGGTGGCGCTACGCTGTTCTCTCTGTCGGACCCCAAAGAAGAAATCTCGGAGCGTCTGCTCAGTGTGGCTGACTCATCGTGTCTTTGTGTTGCAGAGAGGCCATGATCACCCGCAGCCTGCGGCGCCTCAAAGAGCAGATTGTTCGGGCTCGGCTGCTGGCTCAGGAGGCCGGCTTCATTGCTGAGGAGCTCAACAAAAGGACGGAGTATCTGGTCACTCTGCAGATCCCGGCCGCCAACCTGGACGCCAACAGAAAGGTACAGCAGCGTGACGCCGGCTGCTTTAAAACAAACGTGGTGCCTGTTAAAGAGAAGGTGATGATGAAGGCTTCAGTTTGTGTTGAAATGATGTTTCAGTCCTCTTGGATTGAACTTGTAAAGCTGTAGCCGACTGTGAGGATGGAAATGCTGACAGGGTCACGTTTGGTTTTCCTGTCGCCGCAGCGCGACGCAGTGCTGAGCGAGCCGGCCATCCAGGTGCGGCGTAAAGGTAAAGGGAAGCAGATCTGGGCTCTGGAGAAGATGGAGAACCGGCTGGTGGACATGAGGGAGCTCTACCAGGAGTGGAAGGAGCTGGACGAAGACAATCCAGTGAGTGGAGACACGAACTAGAACGACCACAAACAGGAAGCATCAAGAACTGACGAAACCGCGCAGCAGGGACGCTCATTAGTCAGAGTGAAGTATGAGCTCGTTTGTGGGAAAGCTGGGAACAAAAAACATAACATGAGAAACTGAGAAATATAAATGTTTTTGCAGAACTTTGAATTTGCTGACAGCAGCAGATACATGAAAGCTGTTAAAGTTTTAGTTAAAGTTTTAACTAAGTGAACGTCTCGTAACCTGATAAGGTAACGATAACCTGCGGCTCGCTCTGATGTCAGTGTGACAGCCGGTGGCGTCCACCTCCAGGCCTCGAGGGCCGCAGTGCTGCAGGGTTTAGATGTCCTTGATCCAACAGGCTGATTTAAAGGCTAAATGACCTCAACATGTCCTGAAGTTCTCCAGAGGCTGCTAATGAACTCATCAGATGATTCAGGTGTGCTGACCTAGAACCTGAAGCACAGCTCGAGGCCTGGAGGTGGCTGAGCCTGGTGTGGGTTAAACTCTTATAGCAGCTTAAAGGAGCAAATTTCATCTTTCACTCAGTTTGTTGGAGATGAAACAGGAGAAGAAGAAGAACGGGTGTTTCGATCTGCAGTTCGTCCCGTCTGCCTGTTGAGGTTTTCTCTCTCTGTGGTTGGTGCAGCTGTGTGCAGATGTTTGGGTGGATGATTATACGTCCTCACTAACTCTTGCTTCCTTTCCCGATCGAGGTGATGCGCTCCTATTTCAAACGTGCCGACCCGTTCTTCGATGAGCAGGAGAATCACAGCCTGATCGGCGTGGCCAACGTCTTCCTGGCCTGTTTGTTCCACGATGTCAAACTGCAGTACGCGGTGCCCATCATCAACCAGAAGGGAGAGGTACGATTGTTCTGGGTTTACGCCGGCATCTCGCCGCCATGTTTT